AAGGCATTCAAGAAGAAATAGTGTTCTCCATGTCCCTCGAGTAAGTAGGAGCCAATGAGTGATTCCGTCGCGCTATGCAGATTGTAGTAACAGTCGGCTTGAGTTACAAGACGATTAGGCAGATTACAAATGATGCAGGTAATACTTGTATAAAATCTAGCAATTTTTGTCCAGTTAATATACTTTATGTTAAAAATGGATTAGAAAATCTCTCTCACTAAAACAACATGCAGATATCCAAGGGCGTGCGTGGCGCACTGGTCGGAGGCGCCCTGCGACACACACGTGGGATCGACCCCAGCACCCATTACCCACCAAGTCTTCCATTCCTCTGGGGTCGGAAAAGTGGTACCAAATTTGTCTGGGAGGGTAGTAGCACTGGCTCGATATATCAATAGACCACCGCGAGTCATTGCACTGGCCAGATATGCATTCAATCCCCTCCAACGATACTTAATGAAGTCGAATGTGGGGGGCGCATCCCTCAGAAATTGATCAACGCCGAGAGCTTTATCCTTTATTTATCCTTTTAGCTTTTATCATTTTATGCGCTACTCATCATCAATTTAAAGGAGATTTAATGAAATTCCAAGTAATGCTGGGCTAAGCTGTCTCTTTCTTAAAAATTATGCAGCGGTGGCCGTGGAATCTATCACGTGAAATGCCATGCGAACATATCACTTCAGTTCGCACAGTTTCCTTCACTAACATTGCAGTACATGCGCTAACAGTTTGCGTTTGGCCTAAAGAAACTTTGTATCGTAGAACAGAACGAGTAGTCATGCAACCGATCTCGTGCAGCTAACATCGTTTTGTACTAAGGGTCACGTCGGTGACGATGTTCATGGTAGAGTCAGCCAAGCACAAACAGAACCTCACCCGTGTCAGAGCTGAATTACATTAATTGATTTATAACCATAGTTCCATCAAACTGTGTCCTCGAAATCTTGAAAGCCTATCACTGTTACAATTCAAAAAATTGTTTGAAAAATAAGAAAAAAACAACGAATATCTAAACTCCTTCTCCTCCCCTCCCATCCCCTTCTTCTCTGCCACTGAACACAGTGGCGTTGACGAACAAACATTAAGTGCAGCAGTGAATTAGTGGTGATGGATGACTGACTCCACTTATCAAACTCTATCACAATGCACGACGAAGTTGAATACTTCTCCTTAAGTAAACGTTTACGTTAGAAAACGACCTATTTTATTTATGGTTTTAACTATCTTGCAGTCATTAAAGCTTGAATTTTATTCTTGAATAAAGGAGTGTTTAGTAATAAGAAGTACACTGTAGAACATGGCGTAGAACGTAGCTGAGAGACGAGAGAAACGAAGGACCTGCATGGCGTGGTGGTGAACGCGTTATCCCTGGAAAAGGTAATAGCTCGTTGGTTCCCCACCGCAGACACCTGCTGTCCAGAGTGTGGCAGATATCTCGGCACTATTGTGGCTGAATTTCGCGTCATACTCTGCCGTGAAAAATTATAGTATGCGCAAATAAAAAGTTAGTAAAGGAGTGTTTATTAGTCTTCTAACAGATGTATATAAACAAATGATGAATAGTTGGCCATTGATCTATCCGTTAAGGACGGTGGCATCGCTAGAGTGACTGAATACATATTGGCCTATGCGATGACGTGCAGTGAACCAAATAATGTATAAAATAGGTGGTTCTTCAGTTTCAGGCTAATTTGGTACCTATTAGTAGACACTATATAGATAGAGGGTTTGGTTTCTCTTGTGTTAAAAATTGGGCCCACGACTACACGTGTACTGCAGGGCATCTCTGACCACCTCGCTAAAAACGCCTTGCATAATGTATTACCACTTAACTCCAACATCACTCTGGAACCAGTATACTTTGTCGATTTCGTCCTTCGTCCTTCTCTTCATTTCCTTCCTCATTCCTTTTTATCGCTGTCTTCCTCTTCATTTCTTTCTTCCTCTTCCACAAACCTTGTCATATGATCTAATTTCTACAAGTGGCACCACACACAACGGCTTTTGTGGTTTCGGAGTCGCTCGTTAGAGCGCAGTGTTATCCAATTCAATCATGAAATTTTTTATTTGATTTTACGTCAAGTGTTTTAAGGTTCTTCAGCTGTCTATGTACTTCAAGTAGATGGAGCAGTTCTCTTTTGATTGCAAACGTCGAGTAGCATGACAGGACACCATATAAGTGGTCTCTTTAGGAAAACATCATAAGTACTGTAAATATGATAGTTTTTTCATATGTTTTACGAACAATTCCTTTAATCGTCGGAAAGCATGGACAGACACCGAAAAATTTCCAGTCTTCTCTGTCGTGCTGGAGAGACTAGCACCAAGTTTTTGTCATGATGCCTTGTTTTTTAACCCTCTAGACGAAGGTAGCCACTGATAACTCAGTGGGACCCGTCGCCGTTACAAAGGTTTACTTCAACTTGTGGTTTTGCATGGAGATGGTGAACTCCTTCCCAACTTTCGTGACCATTTTAGGGCATCAGATAATTGTAATCTTGAAAGTTATGCTATGTGATGGAGAAGCACTGGAAGCTACCTAGTCTTACTAAACCTATAAAACTTGGCGTAATTTCAAACTGAAATAGATGTGGGCATTCTCATGGGATGCTTTCTAAATTGCTTAAAGCTTTTTATCTTTATTAAATAAGAAAAAGCTGCCTATCACAAAAACTTAAACTATGCCTAGACTTCCTCTGGTAAAGATTTTAGCGATTTCCTAATTCGTCACCAACTCCCATAACAATCATTTTCGATCAAAAGAGATGAGTGGGTGTAATTGGCCGATGGCATGGGTAATGACAAAAAATGTCCCGTAGTGAGGTTGAGAATTACTGCAAAGTGAAGCCATTTCAGCTTTTTCAGAGCCGGTCGGTGTCCGATATGTTCTTCACATCTGCATGTTTGCGTTCATCGACGGCTTATTTACAGCCACATTCAGAACGTCCGGCTACCGTATGCCGCCGAGGGGTTAGCGGCAGCCGGTCGTTCCGCCCCGTCGGCCGTGCCGATTCCATTGGTGACACCCGGTCGCGCTCTCGGTACCCCTAGGTGGGTTGTTCTGTGTTGGCTACCGTAGTCGCTGACGATGAAAGTCAACGATGCAGAAGACCAGCAAAAGCAAGAGGACCATCAGAAGAAGCAGGAACAGCCTGAAGAAACACCACTACCGCAATCAGTTGGTTGCACGATGAGAACCACCAGTCCGACTATTGACGTTCTATCCGAGGTGAACATAGTTAATACATTCTTTGTTATTCATTTGCTGGCTTTTTTGCTAAAGCAACATCTAGAATTACTTGAAAAAGCTAAGAAGGGATTAATAGCCCAACAGCAATGACTGATCCACTGACCAACGATAAGGAACTAAGTACTTAAGTGGTGGTAGTGAGAGCTTGTTTATTTACCGTCTAATTTCTATTTTAAGACTTGCTACAAGAAGCATCGGCAATCTATAAGCACATGTTCACTGCAAGAAACCCGCTGAAGAAAAGAACGTGCTAGGAAAAGTAACATACAACATATCAACCGCTTCTCCTAATTGCTCACTAGTCTAGACTGGCCTGATCTGTTCACTAACTCTGAGGTCCTATTGATGTGAGCTTGCTACAAAAGTGCTTTCTCCAACTATCATTCATTCTTGTACACTTTCTCTAGGTCAAGTTTTTTCTATAAATATTTGCGAATTTTTAGAGGATCTCACTGCTTTCACGAAAAAAAGCGATTGTCTGGTAAATGCTTTAGTTCATGTATTTACCACTACGCTAATAAAAGCCTACACATAGTTTAGCGACAATAGCGTCATCGAACATAAGACTCTTCAAAGCATGAGTCTTGCATTTCATTTCGATTTTCTAAGTGTTAAATTAACTAGAAGCACCGTCCCTAGATAAAGCAACTTGGTATTCTGTATGAACCGAATCCTGCAAAGACTTTCAACTTTTCTTCCAATCGCTTCATTCATCTACTATTTGACCTTTACACAAAGCCTCATGGCCCAGGACTGTGATGAATGACAGAAACTTGGTCGAATTTGCTACTTTTTTCTGCACTCAAAAATAAATTGCTCATAAAAAGAACTCGATATTCATCTGAGATCCAAGAGCGTTAATTTGGACGACGACACTCAGACGAGAGCTGTGGATATCTAGGACACATCATGTAGTTCGGAGTTACTAAGAAAATCTAGTGTTTCTTAACTTATGACTTATTCAAACGATCTCACCACTGAACTCTAATGTTCGGGTGATTTACCATCATTTCGAATGATCATGTGGTATATATGAAAAAATTTTATTCTAATCAGATGTGCTGAATACTCGTAGTATGTGCGATACAGCGAGTTGATGGCACTAAGCGTTTGCGTTTTTAAGCAGGGCAGGCGTCGTTTGGAAGATCGCAAAGAAAGATTATGGGCTCCCACGCCCGACCAGTCACCATCCTGTGATTTAAGGGTAGTGAAGTGATGGCGAACTAAGGGCGAATGCCACTGGCATATTGATGCCGGTCATGGGGTGATAATTCCGTTGTTAACCTTCATCCACTCGAAAATGCGAGATATTCTTGACTAGGGTGGTGTCTACCAACAAACTTATTCAGCTTACTAAGCAAGAGCTTCTCATAGTGATAACAGAGTCTTTGACTGAGATCTTGGTTTGAATTCAATTTCCCAACAAACGATGATAACAAAGCATTCGTTCTATGGAGTACAGTAAGCATATTGATGGCACAGAGAGCGAGACATATGAGGTTCGTATAACCCTTTCTCTGCATTCTGTCGTTGCTAATCGCTTCTTCATTGATATATTTGATAAAGTGTTATCGATCTCTTAACTTTTTGAAGCGGTTGAGGACATTTCTAGCTGGCAATTCTAAGAATGCTGGCCAGCGTGATCGAACTTTTCGTAGCAGTTTGCTGTAACGAGACACATTCTTCTAGCAAAATGATTCATTTAGTTTTCTAAAGCCATATTTCTTGGTATCAATGGCATCAGCTTGCTACTACAAGTCTCTATAGATGCTCGCATAACCAACGGTCGTTGATACGGAAATCGTCAACCGGTGTAGTATCTATAACTCTCTTCACCTTCTATTATACTTATCAGGATTCTATCTAGTTCAAGACAAGCTGGTTTTCGTATAAACTGAAATCGATGCAGAACAAACAATAGTCTCCAGAAAGCTAAATCACAGGCCTCGTCATCAGCGCCAGTCTCATCGTCGAACTCCGACAGCGTCGTTGCCGATTGTGTCGTTTGTGGCGACAAATCCAGTGGAAAGCACTACGGGCAGTACTCATGTGAAGGCTGTAAGAGTTTTTTCAAACGGTTGGTTTTGTGAGAGTTTTTACAGCATTTCCAATTAGCTTTCATCTCGCTAACGATTACAATGAGATCAAGATCTTTTAGTTCAATCAGACGATCGCTGTCCTATGCATGTCGTGGAACGAAGAATTGCCCTGTGGATGTGAACCATCGAAATCAGTGCCAATTTTGTCGTCTGAAGAAATGCGTGAAGATGGGCATGAGAAGAGAATGTTAGTGATTTTAAATGATTGGAGAAAAACACTTTACCTGAAACCTTGAAAAGTGGCATGAATAGAGAAAGCACCCTCTTAGACCTTCGTGGACAATTTGTATTTCTTTCAAGATCTCAGATCCCTTATTCTTCGATTACTAGGTGTTCTTACGTTTTCATCCAGTTTTTTAAAATCGTTTCTCTAATAAAACATTTTTATACATAGATTTCAATGATGTTGTCGTCTTATTTGGATATGCTTATAGAAAAAATTGGGAAATAGAACTGAAATAAAAGGTGGAACGATGAGGATAATGATGAAGAGGAATTGAAACCTAGAAAACATCAAAACAAAAAGCTTGGAAGAAAGGGGAATTGAACTGGACCAAACTTGAACCATACCAAATTTCTTCACCCTTGGATGGGATGGTTTTCTTTACGTTTCATCGTTAAATTCACCAGACACCAACAACAGAAGCCAATGAGCGTTATCCTTTCGAATTCAACTGTTATTTTCGGTCTGCTCTTTTTCTATGGCAGTGTATTATGTGAAATACAATGTGCATCCTGAGATATGGGCAAAGCTCAGGGCCCCAAATGGGCCTCAAACCCGCGATTTCGCTAGCCGGGGGCTCAAGAACTATCCATCATTCAAACCAAAGCCTTTGTTTCGCCGTTCTCTCATCTAGCTTCTTACGCTATCGGTGTTACCCATTTGTGGTTCAAACCTGCCACGAAAAGAAAGGACTAGGCAGTAAATAAAAGTTAAATCGTTGTAATTTCGACTGCAGCTTCAACTTGACTGAGTTCGACGCTTGTACTCCCCAGATTATTCTCGTTAGCTGGTGACAAAGCAAAGGCCTCAGCTGGTGTTGTGGATAGCACGTGGACCTCCGGTAAGGGTTATAATGGTTCAAATCCCAACTAAGGATCAGAGTATTTCTCATATCTCTGCATCTATGTAATTGTCTTTCCGGTTTTGTTTTGTTATTTGCTAAAAATAAAAGTTAGAAAGGTAGGACTTATTTTTGTTTATGTTTATTCACTTATTCATTTATTTATTCATTTATCTATTGCTCATTTATTCATTTATTTATTCATTCTGTTTATTCATTGCTGTCGTTTTATTCAAACACGTTCGTTTACCCACTTTTGGCACAACTCTAATATTGGTCTAAATGTGCCGTGTTTGTGGGAGGAGTAATTGTCATAGTAATAGAATTTCATACTTATGCTATTTTTTAAGAAAAGGTCTTTACGTAAATGTCTGGACGTCCGTTTATCCATAAATGCAATCGGTTTTGTTCTAGCAGTGCAACAAGGTCGAATACACAACGGTCCACCGTTTCTGAACTGTTTCTTCCCTCCAGCGTTCATTCCCCGCCCATCATTACCGTTTTTTCATCCATTTATGCTGAACTTCACACCGACGTCGGACACATTCTCTCAAATCACTGATTCAGGTGAACCAGCAAACGGTGAAAGATCAAACCTTATTCGAAATCATTTTAAAAATAGTTTAACGTTTCTCCTTAAAATTGACTGCTGTCAGTTTCGCTTGCAATAGTGGTTCTGATCAAAAAAGCACATGAACTTTTTTGGCGCGAGTTAAGCTCAAAGGAGTAATGTTTAAGTACAAAATAGTTAATATGTTTTTTCGATCGACACGATGGAACCTTAATATATTATCCTTCTAAACATTTCAAGAGTTTTAAGAAATCTATAGATGGTTCCGCTTGGATTTCTTGTTTTCATGCAATGCCATAGTATCTGTTGCACAGAAACTTTCGAAATTCACTTTACACGCTAATAATTAGGCTCTGAAAGTTCTGATAATAAATCTTCTTTTGTAAGTGAAGTTTTCTTGCTGTTAACCGATGAAAAGAACTTTTCCCGACTTCGTTTTTTCTTAACTTCGTTGTATTTCCCTAACTATTCCTCCTATGTCTAAAGCTTTAATACTCGAAATTGATGAGATCAACCCGTCACTGAGATAAAATACAAGAAATACTGTACTAACACGATCGATAGCTATGTTTTGCTATTCATTTTTCCTCTTTTCAACAACATCAGTGAAGTAATAAATGATATAAAGTGAGATTCCCTTAGACAGTAAAACAATGGCAGCTGCTCCAGCTGCTCCTGTCACAGCTCCTACATGTCCATCAGTCAGAGATATCGGCACGAATCTCCTCTACATCGCGGTGGATTGGGTTAAGCAGCTCTCGTTCTTTAACATGCTCAGCCAAACAGATCAGGTTCAACTGAACTTTCGGCGATTTTTTCGAAATCCCTTTCAGAAATCCATATTTTTAGGTTACACTCCTGCAACACAATTGGGTACAGCTTTTTATACTGTGTGCAACTGGATGTTCAGCTCCGTTGACCTTCAAAGATGATCTTAACGTTAAGGAAGGCAATACATACATGGTAACTAAGCGTTTGCTCAAACTTATGTGAACTGGAAGCCCGTCTAACTGCGAACTCTCTTAAGCAATATTGGCATCATCTTTCGTTTTCTGTTGCAAACCCATTGATTTCTTCGACTTTTGCTTTTTCACATAAGTCTTTCTATTCCTTGTTTCTGCCTCGTCCTTTTCTAAAAGAGTACTAGAGTTCTTGACGATGCGGTTGTGAAGGAAAGCTTCAGTGCATTTGGCTAGTAGCAACAAAACTCAGTGAAGCAGTTTTCCAAATTATTTTTGATTCAGTACCTAATTAATGAGCGAGTAACATTATAGGACTTTATTCTATATTCTGTAACAAGTGGGTTAGAAGACTTCTGAGCTAAAAACGGGTTGAAACCTAATCAAAAAGTGGGAGCTACTAAAAAGCGCCGACAGGAAGGCTTAGAATTCATACAATCTTCACGCGTATTTAGTAGTTTTTATTCAGGAACATGTGGAACGACTACGGTCAATGCACATGGATTTGTTCGAGTTGAACAGCATGAAGGCCATCGTGCTTTTTAATTCCGGTTAGATTTCTTGCTTTGCAATTTTGGTTCCACTGTTTTCTCATCATTCCATCCGTTGTTTGTGATGAGTTCATTTGTCCTCTCGTAGTCATCTCAATCATTATTCACAAACCATAATAGTTTATTTTGTTCTAAGCAATCTAGGTCGTTACGCTAACATTATTCGATCAAAGTTGCCTATTCATTGAGCATTGGGTGCTACTGGTCCTTGAACGCCTCGTCGACTACCGTAGTGCGCAACGGCGCTCAATGGGAAGTTGAGAGGCGATGTGATGTGGAGTGTAATCGGAGATTTGCATCGTGCCATAGACTTGCACCTCATCAATTATGAAGAGACCCGAACCCGATAGACCAAGATAAATTCGTCGAACAAATCTCTTTGTTCAGATTTCGAAAAAATCTCTTCTCACCCAAGAAGACATTCTCATCCAGCTTCTCACTAAACCAACAGATACCTAAAGAACGTATGTTCGTCTTAAGATTAAAAACCGTTTGTTCCAAACGGTGATTCAGAAGAGAGAACATCGAGGAAAGAAACAGAGAGCGAGAGATCGCCGAAAAAAGGCGAAAACTTTCAAACCATAGCTTTTCTCTGACATGTTAGCCATTAGAGCTCTTTTTAGTAACAACATGTGCGTCATACCCTTTAATATGTAATCCTCTGTGTTTTACGACATTTTTTTTGTTCCTTTGAACTCATTCTTAACGGCGACTACCCCATAGTAATCCTCCTCCTAAGTGCGTGATAGACTTTAGGAAACGTTCTTTCAATGAATGGTTCTTCGATTGAGTACGAATCAAATCGCGGATGTATTCAGGTCATTTCAGCAGGGTAATATGTACAGTTGCGTCGTAAATCAGTTTCCTCAAAGCATGTATTTTATCTGATGAAGTCGAATTCGCTTGAAACTGACCGTTCATTACAGCTCCTTAATCTAACGGTCACCGCAAGTGTGCATTTGCTTCCAGATACGCCTTCCCTACAAGATGTAATGAAAGTCGAATCTATCCAGGAAAAAGTGCAAACTTCACTAGACGAGTACTGTAGAACTCAGAAACCTCATCAAGTAAGTGCTGCGATAGCAATAGCAGAGCGAGTTTTCCACAGTAACCATATAATATATAGCCTGGTCGCTTTGGTCGATTACTTCTTCGGCTGCCTATTCTACGTGTCGTGAACAGCTCAACGATAGAATCGCTGTTTTTTTCGGCACTGGACACGCCGATTCAAGTGATACTGAGGGAGCTGCTCAATCATCCGGTACTGATTCCGAAATTTTGGCCCTATCCAGTGTTTCCACATTTTCCTGTTAATTCTCTCACATAGTTTTTTGGTATACTGTAGAAATGTCTTAATAAGATTGTTAGACGTTGTTTAGTCAACAATGGCTTAGAGAGTTTAGTTTGTGATATGCGTATACAGTATATAGTGCGATTTTTGTTGCACAGCATTTACTAAAGATATCGATTACCACTGAGTAGTTCTTGAAGATATAACAACTGCACAGGGGCGTATAGCACAGTGGTGGTGACGTCCGTCCGTCATCAAGAACATGATAATAGTTCGATTCCGCTCCGGACCAACCAAGCTTATCATCCCTGCGGGGTCGGGAAATTGGAACCGGACTTGTCTGGGAAAAAACCGCTCTCTGCAATCCAGTTGGGAACGCTCCAGTCTGGCTACCTTAGGACTCCACGGAGAATTGCTCGACCAGCATTCTTCGAAATTCGAGACGAATGAAAATCTAACCTCAAGCAGCCACAGAAGCCATACGTAAAGTTGGAAGAACATCGTGGACGATGGCTGCGAAGAAACGAATTGGGTGTGAGAAGTGCTAGGATCCGCACAGTAGAAGTGAAGACGGGTCAAATAAAATAAAAATAAAATAAATAACAACTGCATCATACAGCATCTGAAAGTGAATTATTCCAAAATTTCGCTTTCGAACATTTCTAACATTCGTGTGGGTATCGAGAGCTCTACCATCTGTTATTCACTGAAATAATCATACGTATTGATCGAATCAAGTGGTTTGCACTCGCAGAT